TACTAATAAAATAATCTTATAATTTAATAGTAATAAATATGATTATTATAAATATTACTCTCTAATATCTTACAATTTATATATCACATATTTTTTATATATATATACTTTAGTTTTAATAAAATAATATTTGTTAAAATAAATACAGAATATTTTATATAATTCATAAAAAGTATAACTAAATTAATTAAAATAGTAAAAGAAGATGATTTCTTTAATCTCAAGTCTTTATCTTGTCTTTTAGTTAAACTATCTATAAATTCTAAAGAACCAAATAAAAATATACTTGTTTGGATAATATAAACTAAAAATAATTTCTGATCCAATAAATTATTGATAAGAAAACTCAAGTGTAATATGCTGTCATCTCCTTTACTGATGTAATATTATATTGATATCTCAATAAATACAAGACTAATAATTATATAATTTCTTTTAATAATTAGAATAATTTTATTATAACACTTAGAAAAGTATTCTAACTACTTCATTATTAATAATATCTTTGTAAATAACTTTATCTTCTTTATCAAACTAGATTTATGCAAGATTATGATACAAAATTCAGAAATATAATTGGCCAAGTTACAAATATGAGTAATTTAGATCAAGTTATATATTTTATAGAAGATTTAAAATCTACTATCAAAATAAAAGTTAGTTATCAGATATCAAAAATCTTAGAAGAAGCTTGAAAATTAGCTATTCATTATGATATAATAATATATTGACAAGACAAATCTCTAGATCTTTCAAGCAGATATAATAATAATAGTTATTATTTATATTATTACCTTTTTGATATGAGTTCTGAGATGAGAGTGAGTATTAAACCTAATATTACAAAAGTATGTGATAAAAGTAATCACATGCTTAAAGTGATGTTTAGGAGAGTCTTTAAAGAGTTTATTAACAAGAATATAAATACTATTATTTCAAAATTATTTTAAAGATAGATAGCGATAGTATTCTTGTTATGACTAGCTAAAATATAGTCCAATTTCAATATGTAATTTCAAGACAGATGTAATATTCAGTTTATCAATAAGACAAATTAATAGATCTTAATCAAGATCTATTCTATAAGAGAGATTTCTTAAAATTCTCTTAAAACTATAATCTATTAAAATGTGAGTTAAGAACTAAACTCATAGAACTTAAACTAAACTAAATAACTAAAATATCTAACTGACTAATTATCTGACTGCCTGATTTTCTATTTAAATTCATTAGCTAAGATACATCACTTTTATATATTTTAGAGGTTATATAAATAATACTTTTATTATAATACTTATGCTAGTTTTGCTATGATCTAAATATTACTTTAGCTAATATCATAATTTTAGTTTTGTTATGATAGTATTGTTAGTTTTGCTATGATAGTTTTGCTAACTTTACTATAATAATTTTGCCATGATTATTGTGTTTGCAAAATCTTCTAAAAATATCTACAAATAATATTCTCTAAAGCTAATATCTAATAAGATATAAAGAATTATTCATCCTATTAAATTATAATATAAAGCGATCAATAATATAATTAACTAATATTCTACTAAAAGTTCATATCATAATAATACTTTCAATTTGTTTTGTTAACTTATTGATTCCAGTATCTATAGATAGTATTAGTAAGAAAGACAAGCTATTTGGTATAGTATTATATTGTTAAAAATTAGAATTATAAGTAGTTATAATATTAATTACTTTTTCTAATGTTACAAGATGGGTTAGATTTACAAAGAACTTAATTTCTGATCTGAGCCTATCTATAAAGTAAGATATATATAGGTGAGCTGGATAGATATTAGTTAGATTTACTCTTCTAATTAATTCTCTGATAGCTGTAGCATATTATTTTGTATTTTTATCAGGTAATTATTTTTTTTGTTTTAATTATTATTGCTATTTATATAATTGGTTATTATTTCTAAAATACTTTTCAAATTGATATATAAATAAAGCTTCTTTTACATTTTGATTAGCATTATTATTATAACTCCAGATTTCAGATTATTCTAAATCTTGTAACTTTTTATTAGCATATTATATGGTAGTTGAGTCTTTTAGATAAGCTTCTACTATCTAAATTTTTCTATCATTGCTAATACTATTAGTAATACAAGCATTTTTAAAGTCTTGAAGCTAATCAATTAGATCTTGAGTATCACTATAGAATTCTATATTTTGGCATAAATAGCTTTCTTTAATCTTTCTAGAGTTATAGCAAGTACTCTAATTCTATGTATCAAATCTTCAAATCTGTTATCAATAATTAATAAAGATGATATTTCATTTTTCTTATCTCTGCTCATTTTTTCTTCTTTAAGTAGTATTGAGAAAATAAAGATTAAAGTAATGGGTATGTCTTGAGTAATTAATTAGATTTTTAAGTATTTATTAAGTAATGATTACATTAATATCTATTCAAAAATATTTGGATTATACTTTTTAAACTATTGTAAGATATTTAATAACTCTTTATTTAATTTTGACTGACTCAGATTAGGTACTTCTACAGGTATGTCTTGTTATTTTCTTTATCTTAGTTCTGTCAAATATTTGCTTCTTTTGTCTTTGAATTTAAATATCTCTTATTGCAATTTATAAAGATATATTTGTATTTATTCTGTTAATAGATTAGTTTTTTCTTTAATTAAGATTGTAAAAGCTTTTCTTGTTTTGATTTGAGTTTCATTGTATATTACTTCTTAATAAAAATGATAAAACTTTTCTCAGATAACTTAATGATCAGATTCAGTATAATCTTCAAAATATAACTTAATAAATAGTTAAGCAAAGAGTCTTTCTCTTTCTACTTTGATTTCTTTGGTTGGATTCAACTTGATATGTTGCAAAATTATTTTTTCAGTTACTTTTGATTCTTTACTAATTTCAATTTAATCTACAGAAGATTCTTTATCTATATCTGAGTTGAATTTGATAATCCTATGAAATTATTTTTTCATAAAGAAAGTATCAAAAAGTTATTATCTTTTTGATGCAGGTTCTGTTCTGAGAGCGAGTATTAAATCTAATATTATAAAAGCATGTGATAGAAGTGATCACATACTTAAAGTAATATTTGGGAGAGTCTTTAAAAGTTTATTAACAAGAATGTAAATATTATTATTTATCTAAAGATAAGTAATGATAATTTTTTTATTATGACTAGCTAAAATATAATTCAATTTCAAATATAATTTCAAGATAAATATAATATTCAATTTATTAACAAGATGAAATAATAAATCTTAATTAAGATCTATTCTATAAGAAAGATTTCTTAGAATTTTCTTAAAACTAAAATCTACTTAAATGTGAATTGAGAATTAAATTTATAAAACTCAAACTAAATTAAATAACTAAAATATTTTTACTATTAACTATCTATTAACTATTTGTCTAAGTTCACTAGCTAAGATATATTACTTTTATATATTTTAGAGGTTATACAAATGATACTTTTGTTATGATATTTATGCTAGTTTTGCTATAATCTAAATGTTACTTTAACTAGTATCATAATGTTGATTTTGTTATGATAGTATTATTAATTTTGCTATGATAGTTTTGCTAATTTTGCTATAATAATTTTGTCATGATTATCATATTTACAAAATCTTCTAAAAATATCTACAAATAATATTTTCTAAAGCTAATATCCAATAAAATATAAAGAATTATTTATCTAATTATATTATGATATTAATATATAATTAATTAATATTCTACTAAAAGTTCATATCACAATAATATTATAATATTAGTTAAAATAATATTTAGAATATAGTAAAAGTAATATAAATATCATAACAAAAGTATTATTTATATAATCTTTAAAATATATAAAAGTAATATATCTTAGTTAATAAAAAAGAATAATTTTTAAATAATTAGTCAGTTAGTTAATTAATTAATTAATTAGTTTAGTTTGAGTTCTATAGATTTAGTTCTTAATTTATATTTTAAGTAATTATAGTTAAAAAGAATTTTAAGAAATATCTCTTGTAGAATAGATTTTGATTAAGATTTATTATCTTATCTTATTAATAAACTAATTATTACATTTATCTTTGAATTATACTTTAAAATTAAATTACATTCTAGCTAATCATACTAAAGAACATTATTATTACTTTTAGAAATTATCTTTGATAACTTTTAGTAGAAAAAAATATTCTTATTTAGAGTTCTTCTATATCATAACTCTTAGCAAAAATATATATTTTTGATAATTTAAGAATCATACTTATCTTTCAAATCAATATTCATATCAAAAAGATAATAATACAAACTGTTTAAGTTAAAATAATATGTATTATTTTTATTCTTGCATCACATTTTCCAGAATCAAGCTTACTAGTTTTTCTTTACTTCTCAATAGAAATATCTTCTTTACACATACTTGATTCTTTATATTTTACTAGTAAATAATCCAAAAATTATTATTCTTATACTTTTAACTATTATATCACATTCATATATTAGAAACAAGTGATCACAAATTTTCATGAAATTTCTTTTCTGAAACTTCAAATGATTTGTTGACATTAAATATACTGAGACATTTTTTATTTGTTACTTGTATATTAGAAATAAAGAAATAGCAAGAATATATAAAGAAATTACAAATACATATGATAAGTAAGTATATTAGTGCATATCTTAACAGTTATATATATCTTAATATTAACAGTTGTAAAATGTTATTAGTCTTAATAAACTTAATTAGCCTGCATTTAACATAAAAACCATAATTAACTTCTATTTTCCTTTCCATTCTTGAATGTTTTCTCGAAAAGTTTATTTTATTTTGCATGTAACACTACATGTAAATCCGAATCAAATCAAACCAGATCGACTCAATCCGGATTGCACTACCCCGCTTTAGTGTTCCCCAAAATATACACTCCGCTTAGTTATTAATTTTGTCGGATATGTCAACCTTTGTTCAAAGAAATTAAATTATACTTCGATGAAACCCCTTTTAAAGAATGGTCACATCTTCATTTCTTGAGAACCTTCAGGTCCGTTATCCTTTCAGATTTAGACTCTACAAAGAGACAAAATAAAGGCACATGGATCAGAAGATTTAAAGAACGTTTGGAAAAGATTTCTGCTGACGAAGCATATAGCGATCAAGAGAGGGATTGTGCAATGAGGTTAAGTAAAAAGGTATTTTTTCCTTTTTTTATTTGTCATGATAGTTCTGCACAGCCAAAGGACGGCTTCGCTCCCTCCTGAGGTGATGACGGCTTCGCTCCCTCGTGCAGTTCCTATTGGTGTCATACAGCCAAAGGACGGCTTCGCTCCCTCCTGAGGTGATGACGGCTTCGCTCCCTCGTACGACACGAAAATTTTTAGTTGTTAAGACAGTTTATATCTCATATGTCGTCATTTTGTTTATCTGTTTATTGTTGATATATTTGTTTCGAAGCGACCATCATCATCTGTAGATACTTTTTTTGATGTAATTGAAAAGGAAAAACAAATCTTATGTGCGAAACGAGAGATAGAGAATAGGACGGTATGTTTTTATACGAAAATAAGAGTTTCTTGAATAATATCCAGTCTATGTTCTAATATTCATTGTAAATTTTCTAGGATATAGCTTGCCAAAATACAATATTAGGTGCTCTTCACATACTAGAAACAGCACGTGAAGAACGAACAGAGAATTCATTGAAACGAAAGTCAGATGGTTCTGATGATCACAATATTGCGAATATCACAGAAACGGAAATTAAGGTATGTAGTGAGTCAAACTTTGATTTCTGCATTTCTGCATATCTGAATGTTATTAAGGCGGGAATACTGTTAATATGTATCCATGATAAATTTTTCTTTTTTTGAAAGAATCATTCTCTTAAAAGAACCAAAAAGATAAATACATTCTCAATCCACAAAACTGTCAGCAAAGATAAAAACACAAAATATAATTCGGAATCGGAAGAAAGTGATGAAGAAGTACAAAGTGATGAAGAAATACAAAGTGATGAAGAAATCAAGAATCTTAAGCAGGTATTTTGGTATTTGCTACATTTTATGCATAATAACTATATTCACTCCTTAATTTTCTAGGATGAAGCGAATATTCGCGAAAAGCTACTCACAATTTTGAGAGAACGGAAAGGAAAAGAGATGGAATTAGGAATGACCATTATGACATCAACAACACTTAATGGTATAATAGATATTTCAGATGAAGAAACAAACAAAGCGATTAAATCACGTTTTAATCAAGATCAAATTTGTTGGCTAAATAACGTACTTAAAAGTCAAGTATTCAATCCAACTGACGAATTCAAAAATTACATTGATCAATTTACCGAAGGAGCATGCAACAGAGTTCAGATCCCATCTCTCGTCCGTAAGTCTTTCATTAATGGAAGATTTAATTCTTATTATTATGAAGATCATGATATAGCTCAGCAAGTCTTCACTCATTGGTAAGTATTTGTTTGTGCATGTAAGCCGGCTTCCCATATTGTTCCTGACTTCTCATTAATAGTTCTGTTAGGTTAGAGGCACCTATTTCACACGAATCAAAATATCATAAATTAGAACGAACATTTGCAGTAGATACAACTATATACATAATAAACAGGTTATTTCGTATGCATGCAGACTTATTGTACGTTGGATGGTAGATAACAATTATTAATTTCAAAGTATTTAATTATTTTCTCTAATCCTCTATATCTTCTACTAAGGATTGAATTAGGAACAAAATGCACTAAGAAGCATAAATTCGATGGTGTTTTGGAGGTGATAAAAGCAAAAAATAATAGCAAGACAATTCTTTTAATTGAATTTGCCAGAAGGAAAACAACAAAAAAAGAAGTAGATGATCACACTAAATTAAGTAGAAATATAAAAAGAGCTTTAAACGAATTACTAAAAAGTGTACCAAAAGAAATGGCAAAAGTATATCTCATTCAATCAGCAAGTAAGTAGCAAAATTAGAAACCAAACGATGGAAAAGTTATTTATTTACACATGTTTTCTTCATAGATGGGAATATCAATATTAAATACTTAATTCGACCACTTCCTTCAGTTTATTTGATGAATCAACTTTTACTTATGAAAATACCAGTTGTTTTTGAAGACTTCGAAAATTTTGCGAAAGATATGACCCAATTGATGAATATCCAAGTAAGGATTGATAATAAATATTCACAGACATTCTCGCCAAATACTGATGGTGATTAACTTTTATTATTGTAGGCAGATGTACTTTTAACTGCCAAACAGATAAATAAATATTCAAATAGTGATGATGATGCAAGAGTAGTGGATTTAGTTCAAATTACACCAGAAAAGCTAACAAAATTCAGTCTAGAAAGGAAAGAACATCCTAAATCACCAACTCCATCTAATGGCGAAACCTCTCTTCTTGCCTAGTCAATGATGGTACTTAAAAATTAGTTAAAACCAATATATTACTTCAAGAAATATAAAGACTTTCTATCCTACTTTTTCAAATTTTAATAATTCGAATTTACCTTCAGATATTCACATACTTCTTCGTAACCGAATACTGCTTTCCTATCTTGCATGTTCCTATGATAGCAATATAATTTTCATATATGACATACTTATTTCGATTAGGATTTGTAGTGAGACTTTCGTCTATTGTTTCTAGATTTGCGAGACATATTTGATATATAGTATCATCAATTCAAAATTTTTTTTCTTGGCAAAAGTGATCGTGAAGAACTGGAACGCGCATGTGATTTCTGAAACTGTTTTATTAATCAATGCATGAAACCACAGCCCTATTATCCTTTATTGTCATAATGCCGTCAAGATATGCAACTGAAACAATACGTAATTTTGTCGTAATATCTATTCCACTGGGATGAACACGATGATCCAAATTCCTTATGTTGCTTGGTCGCTTTAGGTGATTTCAGGGGAGGTGAACTATGCTTCCCGCAACTTCAGATTATCATTCCATTCGTCCAGGACAAATCGTTGCGTTTTCATCGCGTTTTTTATTGCACGAGAATTTTCCAGTAACTCAAGGGATAAGGCACAGCATCGTTTACTTTATTCATGGAACGTTTTTCCACCATCAGCACGACTCCACTCCCATTCATAATGATCTTACTATCTCTCATCAAGGCTTGAATAATGCTCAAGATTCGAACTTCCGGATCCGACTTACCGATAATCTTGAGGATGTAAAATGATTCTTATCTATAGATCTTATCTCTAACTATTAACAAATTAAAATAGAATTATCTAATATAGAAAAAATAATATTCATATCAAGAGAAGGATTCATCAGGAAATTTTTGGGGGTGATTTGTATCAATTTTTATCATTAGTTATATATTGATAATATTGATATATATTGAAGTTATTGATGCATATTGAAATAGCTATTTGATATATATTAATATATATCAGAGTTATCAATATATATTATTTAATGAAGTATATTATTAAATATCATTGTTTGATGATATATATTGTTAAATATCATTGTTTAACAAAATATATTATTAAATATTATTGTTTAATGATATATATTATTAAATACTATTGTTTAATGATATATATCATTAAATATTATTGTTTTATGATATATATCATTAAATATTATTATTTAATGATGTATATCCTTAAATATTATTATTTAATGATATAGATCATTAAATATCATTATTTAATGATATAGATCATTAAATATCATTGTTTAATAATGTAAATTTGTTAAATATTATTGTTTAATGATATAAATCATTAAATATCATTATTTAATAATGTAAATTTGTTAAATCAACTTATTTTATTAAATATTATTATTTAATGATTTTTATTATTAAATTCAGAATTTTTATTATTAAAACAAAAATCTATTTAATAAATGTATTATTTTAAATATAATTCTAATAATCCTCAACTAATTGATCAATATTTTTATCTTTATTCTTTGTAAATAAGTTATTTGTTATGCAAAAATTATATGCTTCTTGTTAGATAGCATTATTACTTATATTATCATTATCTTCATTATTTTCAAGTTTTAATCTATTTTTTTTTATCATATCTTTCATCTTTAATAATATTTATCAAGTCTTTACATATTAGATTTGTATTTTTTTGATATATTTTCTAAAAGAAAATAATATTAATTACAAAAGATTATATATAGTATAGAGTAAAAGCTTACTTTATATTTATTTATGTGATATTGTAATGAATTTCTACTTATTTTGATTGATAGATGATTTGGATTTAGCATAATATCATATATGCTTACAATATATATACATAAATTAATAAATAGCAGTTTTTCATGAAGAGATGAAAAGATAATACAAGTGATATAGTTAATATTGCTGGTATCATTATTTCTAAGTTAAAATAACTTATTATAATATTTAGTCACTTCTAATGATATTTTCTATTTAGAAATTTTCTTGAAATTTTTTTAATTATTAATTAAAGATTCCAAAAGATATAAAAAATTGCTTTCTTAATTACCATCATATTAAAATCATATATATCTTTCATTCTTTTCATAATCTAATTAAGATATAAAAATTATCAATAAAATTTAATAAAACTATAATTATGATAATTATTGCTAAGTAATATTATTCAGAAAAAGTATTGATCTATTCATATTTTTTGATTTAGTTAGGGTAATTATAATTGAGTCAGGATTCAAGTTTCTTCTTATAATTATTAAATTGTGATCATAGTTTAGTTAGAAAAAAGTTCAAATAAATATTATTATAATCATCTTATAATTATTTAAATTTTGAATTCAACAATATATATAAAAAAATTAAAATAATATATATTTACAACCCATACTTTTCCACTTAAATCTATTTTTTTGTCTTGTTTCTTTCTTATTTATATCTTAATTCTTTCTAATTTGTTAAATATCATCTTCTAAAGCTCATAAATTACTTTGTATTATCAATCTTATTTTAATTATCATATTTCACCACATAAAGTATCCAGAGTAGTATCAGACTCATTATGTTATATATCCAGATACATACCACAGTTATAACATTAGTAATATATAACAGATCTAAGTACATAATAAAATTTGAACACAGATCTCTATGTAATGTATCTTCTTAATGTAATATACCATGTGAAAAAAAGATAATGATGATTCATTTTATTCTCACTATCAAATCTTATAAGAATGCACAGATGTGAGTGAAAAAAAAACTGTCTAATGTGTGAGAAACAAAGGCAAAATTATTGTGAGATCTTTGTTGATCTATAACTCTTATTTAACAGAAAGAAAAAATAGATGGAAAATATAGGATATTAGGAGAAAGGTAAAAAAGAATCTATGAATTGCTTTATTAAATTTTAGTTTTACATATTTTGATAATTAATACATATCTGCTCATAATAATTATCACTATTGTTCTTCTTATTTTCTTCTTGATGAACTTTATCCAAATTAAAAGATTCATCAATACCTCTTTCTTGAAAACTTTCTTCATCTTCATTCTCATCATCTAAAAACTCATCTCTTAATGACTCTCTCCATTTCCATTACTCATATCACTAGAACCCACTTCAATATCATTTTCTTCTTCTTGATCATTATAAAATATATGACTGCTACTAGTTCTTTGACTTACTCAATCATAATTAAAAATTAAATTATCTTCTGAGCTGTCTCATACATTTGAAATTTCACAATACTTAAAAGATTTGCAAATAAGTCCAGAATTAACTCTATTCCATGCTACTTTAATCCACTTGGCCATAGTATTATAAGCAAGATATTGGATTTGTCTAGTAAGAGTCATTTTCTTAATTTCTTCTGCTATCTAATTATTATATTGATGATGTACCTATAAAAAAGTGATTAAAATTAAGTATTTAATAAAAAATTATAAAAAATAACTTATTTTTGATTTGAATGATTTATTAATAGAAATATCCAATAGTTGCAACTTTGAAGTTAATTCACCAAGAATTACTGCTATATTGGTCTTTCTCTCTCCAAATCTTCATTTGACAGAATTAGTCAAGTGATCTTGAAATAAATCTAATATAAGTAAAGATTGTGAATCAGGTGATAGAGAATGATAAGTCTAAATATTTTGAATTCACCAAATCATTTCTTCATTCATATAATCTTGTTGATTGGTACAAATAAAAACTCTATTTAAAAATATTTAACATAGAATATTAATAAGTTTAAAAATGATCATGAATGGCAATTTTGTATTATCTGCCATATAGGCAAGTATAATTGTAAAATTTGATTTTTTATATCTTGTGATGCAGATATTAATTATTTTTGCTCCTATTTCTTCAATTGTTATAGCATTTGGAAGATTAAATACTAATGGTATTTTATCCATATTACTGATCAATACTATTAGATAATTGTATTAAATATGATGATATAAACAAAACTCAAAAAGTTTTGTTTTAACACTTCCAAATCTTCAGCTAATTTTTGGGTGATAGTAGTGCATCATTAGTTATTGAGATTATATCATCTCATAAATCTATCAATCCATTATTTGCTCTATTTGCATTCATATATATTCAGATAAAGATTGATAAAATATTGCTTTGTTACTAATACTTTAGCTTTCATATATACTATATGATAAGTTATTACTTTTTGTTATTTTCTTAATATTTTTATCTATTGAACAAGTTCAGTTTTGATTACTAGATATCTTGGTTTTGTTCCATTATTAAAATATTTGATATGTGATCTAGCTTTCATTAGTGCATCATGATTATTATATCAATCTCAAATTTACTTGGATTAAATATCAAATTTTTGAGTAATACTACAAATATTAGTATTTGAATACTGATCAAGATAGATAAGAATTACCAATTTTTTACATACATATCATATTCATTTTTTTTTAGTAATAATAATTACATATTTGGAATTGAGCACTCTTTGCATTATTTTATTAAAAATTTATGTATTTAAAATTTTTGTATTCTAATCAATATGCATTCTGCAATTTGTCATACAAAAAATATATCTGTTTAATATACCCTCTATATAAAAGATTCCTCATTTAATATACCCGCTATATAAGAAACTTACTGTTTAATATACCCTTTATATAAGAGATCCACCATTTAATATATTCATCTTTTTATAACATACTCCCAGATATAAATCAACTTTTTTGTGTTCTAGGTGTAATGTACTCTGAGTACTTTATATGGTAAAATACAGTAACTTTATTATAGTATTTTTTATATTAAGTATACTTATCTATATTATATAGTTTAAATAATATTTTTGATAAACTAGTTGATATTCTAGATAAACTAATAAGAGCAGGCAATTTTAATAAACTAAAAATAGTAATAGTCTGTATGTAATCTATAAAGTTAAAAATTAATATTTAACAATACCTATTAAATAA